AGTAGTAGAAGGATCAAGACACTAATCCAGAGCTGGCGATGATCCTGGGCTGGCAGCAGGCAGGGCAGTGACCACCCTGAACATCTGCTGCCCTACTTAAACAAATGGTGAAGTTCAACTGCTCCAAGCAGGAGTAGCTCGTGGAGTCCTGCGTCTCTGTCTGGATAGCTAGAATCAAGGCTGCTGCTACCATGGAAACTAACTTCACGGTAAAGAGAGGTGAGCCGTCTCAGGATCTCCCAGTCACTGCAGAAGTCGAGCCGAGGCTTCCCTTGGCCGGGCTCAACACCCCCACATCACTGAGATCTTGGGCCCCATAAAAGTAAATGAATTTTGCCCTCCGAACCAGAACAATCCACTTGTGTTCCAAATTTTTGGAATAATCCTAACTCTCCTCCCACCCCCGCCCCGACCCCCCGTAGGGTGCCCCTGGTATGACCGATCACTCCTGTGCCACTCTAGGTGGGCGTGCCAAGAATGAGAGTATACGGATGAACTTCTTGAGTCTGGCAAATGCTATGCTAAGGCATCCGTGTTGGCAGGAACAAAGCCTGCCTACTGCAGTGCCTTGCTGGCCGTGTTCTACCTCACCAAATGGTCCCAGACTGTGAGAGTCACATGGCTGTGAATCCGAGATGCAGGTGATACAGGTGATACAGGTGGCCTGCTTCTGTCATTCTGTCAGGAGGTGCTTAAGACAATGATGTCTGTCCTATGTGGGCATCCAACAGCATTTCTCTGAATGCTCTGTCTAGGGCAAGTTGTTACAACAACAACAGCGACAACAATAATAACATCTTTCTCAGATATTTCAAACTTAAATAAATAAGGCCCAATGATGTCACTCAATAGTAACCCTCACCTCTCCCCAAAATTACTGTGACCAACAAGACAAACTGATGCCAAGGACTTCGAATCACTTTCACTCCTCTGTGCTGCTTTTTCCAGTCCTCTCCACCGGGGAGCTGCAGTGTCAGCTGAAAAATAAACTTTTGAATCCAGTTAACTAGTCCATCTCTGTACAATGTTTTGCTCCCGAAGACTGTTAAATTGCTGTTGCTCCTGAAAAAAATGCACATACGGCAATGTTGAGTCTAGAGCGTGAAGTGGCACCAATACGACGTGCATCAGCTGTCAAAAAAAAAAAAAGAGCACAGAAACAGCTTTTGAAGTCTATAATTGAAAATCTATGGGCATTGAAATTTTAGACAGAAATAGCTAATGCTTATCAAACCATTAGAAAGCCAGTATACCCCTGAGAAATCAATTAACCAATTAAACTATATTTGGTACAATGCATTTATGCAAAGCAAATTGACACTAAACAATGCACACCTTATTCTGGACGGGTTTTGGAAAACAGAAACCCTGTTTTTCCATTGTGGTAAAAATTAAAGATGATCCCCTGACTACAGTTGGTAAATCATAATGGTTCAGTAGCTTTCTTAGGCTTTGATTCTTAGTGTCCCAGTTGCTGTTGGTTCCTGTATGCCAGGAAAATGACACTGCCGGTTTAACAAAGCCTAGCTGGGTGGGTATTGCATTAGGATGCTCTGTGCCCCCCCCCGCCTGTCACCTTGCTGATGATTACACAGGCCCTCATTGTGTGCCGTCGTTTCCACTTCAGCAGTTATTCTCAGAAAGGTCATTCTCTTGCAAGCTCTTTTATGCATTTAGCAGATTTCTCCTTCTTTTGCATAAAGCCGCCCGGCTCTCTGCCTTCTCTCTGCTCGCCGCTCCTGTCTGCATTTGACAGCATAAAGCACGTCTGCCTGTCTACCTCTTCCATCTGTCCCTGGCCTCACCGTGGGTTTATACTCATAAATTTGCCGAAAATTGGCACAGAGACGGCTATTTTAACAACTCTGAAACAAAAGAGAAAGTCATGATGTCACAGAGGTTTAAGACACGCTTCTAAATTCATAGAGAAAAAGACTCAAAGACGTGTAGTGAATATAGCGAACGGCTGTGCATGTTTTGAAGGGATTTACCGTGTTTCTGTGGTTCAGCACGCTGTGCCCGTGAGCAGAAGGTCGTTGGTTCGAATCCCATGGCCTGTGGTATGATTTAACTGTTGGGCCCCTGAGCGAGATCCTTAACCCCCAAATCCTTCTGGGGCTGTCTGACCCTGCTTTGTGAAATCTACTTCACTTTCAATAAAAGTGCGTGCTACATAAATTCCTTGTACTGTAAAATAAAATTGAAGACCGCCTTTAATAAAACAAAGGAGAATATATCTCCTTTTAGGCAGAGGGTAGGGGGAGCAAACATATTCTACTGTACTGACACTTAAAGGGACGTGCAGCATAAGACGACAATGCCGCTTAGTGGGTTTCATTACAATCCAGGAACCGGCGCAGTGGCTCATGAATATGCATAATGTCAAGTGGCATCGGAGGCAGAATGAGTGACTCAGAGGCAGCTCTGGCAGCGACATTCAGGCTGCATAGACACTCTGCATCCGGAGGGTTTCTGCAGGTTACAGAACATGCAGGAGAAGGTTCCTACTGCTTGGTCAGATGCCCTGTAACTCCAGTAGTAGTTTTTTCAGTATAGTACATTTACACTCTATTTATGTTGCGGACAGGTTCATCCATGCAACGAAGACAGCAGGCTTGGCCAGTACCGGCAGCAATTGTGGCTACTGGCCTTGCTCAAGGATTCAAAGGTGAAATCGCTCTACCGGACATGAGATTTGAACCGACAACGGGCAGTGTGTCCTCGCCCATAGAGGCACACATTGACTTCGGTCAAATCTGTATCCAAGGTGCTGGTTTGAGTAGCTGTTCAGGAAGGTGGTTTAACGTAAGGCCACATAATCTAATACAGAGGTATTTTTAAATCATAAATCGACAGTAGGTGCAAACAAAAGTACAGCACGTAATGACAGAGGACATGAAAAGCCTTTCTCTGTATGTCAGTTGTCCACAGTAATATTTTAAGTAAGTGATGCATTCTGAATGTGACAAGTGACACATCCTCATAATGTTAATTCACTGCTTATCAACCGCGGTTTAACCCTCTTCCCAGTGGTTTTAGTGTAAAGGATTACATGGCCGTTCTCCACACTGACTTACGTCATACTCTGGTAACATCCATTACATGTTTCCTCAAAATATATCCCCTGTACTGCCTGGGGGTAAATGTAACCCAGATTCAGACCAGTCCTGCTAATGGAGCCCCTTTGTGTTGACAGAGCTAGGCGAGTGGATGGTTTGCTCGATGCACACAGCAACACCTGTGTATCACGCATTTCATCACTGCATCCGTGACTCTAAAGCATGAATTACCATGGCAGGCATTCTAGGTTTATTCATTTTGACTTTGTAGAGATTATCTGCGCTACACGTGCCATCTCAATGATGAAATCTATAACGACGGCATCCCGGAAAATGCACGAGCTGGCCAGTGGAGAAGTGTTTTTAAACTAAATCCTCCAGGAATTATATGCATAAGTGTATATACTGCAAAACGTTCGTTCATTCAACATATAGACATACACACACACGTATTATAAAATGTCTCGTTTGGCACTTAACTTCCCAAGTATTTAATGAAAATGTTACGAGAGGACTGAGAAGCATACCCGTGGCCTTGGTAAGAAGAGAGCGCGGAGCGCGCGCCTCCTTGGCAAAAGCAAAAATGCACGTTATGCAACCAGTCTTTTCTTGTACATCTGCAATGGTGCATGTACTTCTTTGTAGATATTAAATGATTTTCAGGAGGTAGTGGTGGGGGTTGAAGCTTACACAGGTGACCTGCGCAGAAAGCCCGTTTAAAACGCAAGGTCTGAATCTGCGTTTGGTTGTCAGACATCTTCAGTCCTTCTGGTACAGACCTCCTCTCTTATCTGTAACGAATATACGGGTGTTTTTTGGTCTTCTGTGCGGTAGGAAGGCAGTGCTAATATAGAGACGCGTTTATTGAAGATGGCTATAAATATACTGTACGGCAAACCTTCCCCGGCGTCTCTGATGGTTCCGCGTCTGTCTGCCAAAAGACCAATTTATTTCGCAGTTACATACAGCGGTGATTGTGTAACCGCAGAGTTTGCACTTTAATGATCGTTTTCCTATTATAATATGAATTTACCAATTATATAAAATGGAATTAGCTGGAAAAGGAAACACACGAGGTATTCTGGTCCATACAATAATCATTCTTTTTTTTAACTCTATAATATTTAGCCAAATATTCATGCTGCCTTGAACGTTGTTTCCCAGTGTGATTAAAATAATCAAAGACGATAAGTGTGAAACGCTGCATTAATAAAGAATTAAGGAGCTGAAAATGTCAAAATGTGTATGAGACTGATGACAAAACTAGCACTTTACAATCTGACACCAAATTAATTAGAGGCGCGTTACCATACGGTTCCATACCTACAGTGTGGCAAGGTTCTATGCAGCAGTGTTGGACAGTGCTGAAGAACATGCGCTAATTTTATGAACATGAGGGTATCGGGCGAATCAAGTTAACATACTTAACTGGGGTCGGTTAGCTCTCGCCTATAAAATATAATTCCCTAAAATGCTTTAATGTGCTTCGGTGGAGGCTGGCCTACCATGTCATTTAATGAGGTCAAGATGTACTCAGGGATTGCATTATGTCAAACTGGAGAGATCGCACATCGCCGAATACACATGCGGAGTCATGCAATAAACCATGTAGCCTAATACCTTCACTGCTCAGTGAACAATTATATATTAACAATTATAAGAACTGCTAAATCTCGTTTTTGTCATACGTTAGAATTAACAGCAATGCAATCGACACATTATTGGTAATAAGAGTATAGGGCGGCTTATTAAGTCGATAAATTCCCATAATTCTATTAAAGCATAATACATAACGCCGGCAAATTCTGTCATACGAGTGCATGAAAGCAATGAAGCAGCAGCTAAATGATAGTTAAACGGTAGGTTCTTCCGGATGTGGAGAGAGGTGGGGGGCGCATTGGCTTCGGCTCTCTTCGTATCTTTACGGCCTCATTAACATGCCCCCCCTTGGTGCCGAAATGAGCTGCTGTGAGTCGCGGATGTAAGTGCGGAGCTCTTGAGTGCGGAGCCGAGGCGGCTATTCGGAGGGACAACAGCAGCAGGAGGAAGGAGAGAGTCTGTAAACCAGCACTACCATCCTCTTCGTCACTGGAACTGGAGCTCAATAGCCACATACAACACATCACCCAGACCGGCTGCAGACTGAATAGCCTAAATTCATTATGAATAGGATCTAAGGTTGACTTTGGTTGAAGCAAGGAGGGATTTTTTTGCCGGTGGATGTGGTCGCACCTTGTGGAAATGCTACAAAATATGAATTTATCCGTCTTCCTTCTTTCTTTTTTATGGGGACTATCGTTTGGCGGTTCTCCTAGCGTACAAATCGGTATGTTAAAAGGAAACACGATGAATCGGCGAACACACTACAATAAAATAAATGAATATGAATGCGAACAAGCATGTCTGTCACAACCTTAGATAGCTCATTTATTGGATATGGTGGATAAATATGTGAGGCAAATCGCATACAAATTTGGGGGGAATATGCAAATTTAACTGTAAAGCAGTTTGAGAAAATTATTTCATATAAACGTTTTTATCTGCTTGTGCTCCGCAGGCGGACTATTTCCAAGGGGTGCGGACCAGGAATACAGCGCCTTTCGCGTCGGCATGGTTCAGTTCGGCACGCCCGAATTCAGACTGACGCCCCACATTGACAATCTGGAAGTAGCAAACAGTTTTGCGGTCACCAATTGCTGTAAGTACCACACACGCACAAATGCATACAAGAAAATATTGTTTTATTGTGCCGTTTGTGCGACCTCATTTGGCACAGTTTCCAGTAACGCGTCGTCTGTTGGAGATGTAAGGGGCATTCACATAAAATGTTATCAATGGAAGTATTCATTAATAGTAAAATGTGAAGATTGTACTGCATATTACCACAAATAGACACTTGCCTTTAACTTCAGGCATCAGTGCCAGTTGGTTTCCACGGCAACAGTTTCAGAAATTGGAGACAGATATAATGAATTAAGGGGAAAAGGACTGTGCTGTAATCTATTGATCATGATTTAGTGATGGTAAATATGCTATTTCACTGAAAATTCACGCCGCGATGGTGGATTTATCTTAAAAACATAATACACACCAAATACAAGTAGGTATATTTAGATAAATGCACGTTGAACGCAAACTGGATTTTTCTCCCTGGACAGCTGTGCCAACCAGCGGGTTGGTATATTGCGTTTGGCTTGTAATGCACTTATAGATTACACCATTATAAATCGCTTATTCGATTGTGGCCACTGTGCACGTTCACAGCGTGCAATTTTAATAGTATTTTATCTGTATTGCGCATTTAACGTTACGGCAAAGACAAACAAAGTGGGTTATTTCACAAGGAGACCACAGTGAATGAGCGATTGCGGTGATATCGCCTTGTGACATATGTGCATTTAAACAAAGCTGGCCGCTCCTGTGCCGTCGGACTGAGAGTCGTTTCGGCGATCGACGATTACCGGTACAGGCACACATCTGCTCTGTTCTGCTTCCTAAATCAGAGCTAAATCGCATTTATCTAGTAGGCTACGTGATGAACTACGTGTTAAGAGCAGGTTTCAAAGTATGAAAGCGCTGAAAGTTTGGTAATTCCCGGCACATAAATGTTCAGTATTGGATAATGGCATATTGGATATTGTTCAAATTGGCCATATGTCTATCCTGTGCAATCAATAAACATGTTGTGAAACTGGGATTTTTATATAACTATATCTATCTGGATTAAATGCTAAACCAGATAAATGATAAACGCAATAATTTTACATATGTTTGGCACAAAATGTTTTATTTTACGACATATGACAAATCAATAATTGTGACCATTACAGTTTAATAAGTAAACCAGTCCTTCCAGGCAGGAACACTATTCGGATTAAGAAGCGCGCGATTTACTTTTATTCTCTGTTGTTAAAATGTCGTTTTCCTATCCGCCCACGCAGTGAAAATCAGTCAGAATGAACAAGGTTATCTCGTTGTGTGTGATGGACAGCTTTCTGTTTTATTTCCTATTAAAACACTAGATGGCACTCTGACTCAAAAGCAATCACTATATATAGTGCACGTTATATGTATATCTTGACGTTTAATAATGCTTGATTGGACCACTTTGCTCACAGATGAAAACCGAATATCTATATTAACTGCATGGATAACTGAATAGCAATAAGTCTGGTTAGCTTATTAAGTTTGAAATTTAACTGGTAAGAGATGAATTGAAACACACTCCTTAAGATAACATTGTGCGTAATTAAGCAGGGCGCTACGTTTTAATTGCTTGCACTGGAACGTTCCGAAAAGCATTCAGCAAACGTTCAGCAATAACAGATTCGATGGCCAGTTATTCTTCCCCGAGTTAGAGCAAATGCATCCTAAGAGGTACATCACAGCACTTGTGAAAGTGCAGATATTTCACGAGCACCTTAACAGCTCTTTAGGAACTGTACATCACTTGTAAAGAGCCCCCAAGGAATCCAAGTTTATATTCCTGAAAAACAGAATTTGCTGTCGGTCAGCTGTCAGTAAATGAGTCCAGCGTTGACAAGTCAACTCCATGAAGTGTGGTATGGCACACCCAGGTCCCTGCCGAGCATCGAGACCTTCCCACACGGTCGAGTGCCCAGGGTCAGTAACACACCTCCATTCACCCGACAAGTGTGTCTTTATAACGTGATAGGACCCAGCAGCACTTGGCTAGAAATGACAGCAGCTCTGCAAGTAGCCATGCAAACCACACTCTTGCAGATGGTGCCGATATACCGTTCCATGCAGAAATTGTGAGAGGGGTTCCAGTAGACCATGCACCAAAGAGCTGACGGCAGTAGAAGATCCGTAGTCGAAGGAAGCACTTGACTGAATGAAACACTACACGCACCTTTGTAGAAAGATCTCTTTTCTGAAGTCCCTGTTCAATAGCTCTTCTGCAGAAACCCAAACAGCGTGTGTTTTCATTCAGGTTTTTTATTTTCATTTTGCCAAAACTGGGTGTAGATGCGCTTTCAATCAATGAAGCGCCGGCTGTTTGTAAAACCAGGCACTGACTGCTCTCCTAATGGCATCCATTCGAACAATAATGTTTGTAAATGTAGAACTCGTCAATATCGACCTAAGAGATGCAATAATGGACAGATAGGGGATAATGGACAGACAGGGGATGTCCCCGCAGCTCTGAAACAGACGGCGCGGTCGTCACGCGCTCATTTTCTGCTCTAGGTGTAAATTATTTTCCCCCCTACTATGCAGACAGCCTCTTGTTACTGAGTGAGCCTTGTCTCACGCTGGGAGAGAGGTCAAGGAAAACCAGGGCGATTAGAAATGGACAGACGGCCCACGGGGAGGAGTGTGTGTGTGTGTGTGTGTGTGGCGGGGGGGTTACAGCACGGAATCCGCCGCTTGCGCTGATAGATCCGTGATGTGAATGTGAACCTGGAGCACGCGTATGAAAGGAAAGATTTCTCTTTATAAAAACCTTACGATGTATCTTTAAAGCCCTAACCTACATAGCCGCTGAAATTGGATCGTGTTGCCGGGAGACCTAATGGCATTTTATAATAACACTGCCCCACCGACAGCTGCAGCCCTGATTTCGGTGATGTCTATACCGCTGGCTGATAAACACAGCAGTGTGACTGAGCCATGCCTACATACA